CTTCTAGTGGCAAAAAAAAAGGACAACTGGCAATGCCCCGGGATGCAGTGGATGACCTTGGCATCATTGATGCCTGTCCATGCTGTAAATGCTCCACAGCACCTGCTTCAGCTGCCTTCACGGCCACTGGAACAAATTGTTTTCATCCACCTAGTAATACTAACTAAGGTTACTAGTAGATGAGTTAGGAGTCTACTGCTATGGTCTGGGTGAGAAATGTTAACCACATGAGTTCTCTTGATAGAACTAGGAAACTCAGGAAGAGGGTAAGGTGTAGGGGAAGGAAAGCAGAGATGACAGGCTCCATTTTGGACATATCCTAAAGAGTAGCATAATTTACCAAAATGGCAGAGAGGTGAGAACCATGTCTCAAGTTATAAGAGATCCACAGAGGAGAAGTCACAGGATTTTGAGCCAGTCATTTCAGTGGCCCACTCAACATCCAGTTTTAAGCTAGGCCCCACCCTCCAGCCTTAGCCAAATTCAACTCAAAAGCACTTCTTAAGCAGAAAGACATTGAGCAAGATGCTGGGGGTACAGAGACAAAAATGAAAGTCCCTCCTTGTGAAAGGAATTATTATTTTCATAATAATAGATATGATGTATATAATGAATATGCTAATAATTCAGATTTTTCAGAATTGCCTCCTCTGGCTTGGGAGTCAGACTTACAATGCAGCTTGAAATGATCAACAAAACCTTGACAATCCTCTCACAATCTTTGCATTTTTGTGCTTGTATACCTTAAGTGAAGTGAATCAAAGATTATAGAACCTGTTCCCATCACAGAACTCTGGTCCTGTACTCCACTAAGTAATGGCCCCCAAAGACTTGACCAGAGTTGTTGTACTGTCTTCCACTTGTGGGCTTGTCATGGGAAACTACTCTGGCCCTGGGAAACAATTGTTTGTAATCTACCTTCCCCCCTCACTTCCCACTTGTGATTTATGTATAAAATCTCTGTCTTCACTTCAGCAAGGTGAAATGCCACTCAGAAGAATTTCCAATTTGCAAATCTGTTCCTCATAATGAAACTAATTAATTAAACTGCTACCTGATTACTGGCACTCCTGTCTCTAGGCCTGCTTGTGTGGCTCCAAGCATTCTCAAGTTAGAGACTGTCTCAGTAAAATCCTGTTAACGCTTCCCTCTAGGAGGTTGCATTCTATTGGAGGGATCCAACAAATAAGCATAAGTAAATAAAAAGTAATGTCAGGCAGGAGAGAACTCACTGCAGAAATCAGGAAAGACTTCATGTTGGAGGCAGCAACTAAGCTGGCCCTTTAAGGATGCTATGAATTGTAAAAGGCAGAGGAGAGGAGCAGGTATGATCTAGCCCTGAGGTTCAGCCCTCAAAAAGGCTTAGTGAAAGATCAGAGTACTGGAAGAAACCTCCAGGCCAATTTGGCTAGAAGGAACTGGGTACAGACAGGTAAAGAGGAGTCCTAGTATTTAGGCTGGGGGACATCTGAACATGTTTGGAGGCATCAGAGAAGGAACAAGTCACTAAGGAGAGACTGAAGATTGGAGGGGGCAGGTAATCTGGTGCGGGGGAGAGCTAGGAGGACACAGGGGCAAGAGCCTGGGTTTGTCAGGAGGGGCCACCTCTTCCTCTGAGACTCTGCCAGAGAACTCCTTCAGACACCCCATTCCCTTCATCAGTGCCCAAAGTAGTTGGAAAATCCCTACTCTGAGGTCTCTTCAGTTACTCCCAGATTTGGAGGTATTCTGGGAGGTTGATGGGGCTGAATATCTGGTTGCCAACTGAGAAACCATGACTTGACAGGATCTCCATCAGGATTCATTTAGTTTCATTCAATCCGTGGGACTGAGGAAGAAAATGCCTTCCATTAATCTCAAACTTCAGATGTTAATACATACTGTGTTCAGATGGTGGCATCTAGTGGTGAAAAGTGGTATAGCTCTAGGAAGGACACCATAAAGATCAAAGACAGGTTCACTCACTTTAAATGTTTATTAAGCACCTGTTGTGTGGATCAGCAGCACTGGTAGGTATTGGGTGGGAGGAGGCACCAAATTAAATGCCTGCCCTTGTGGAGCTCTATTTATGAGACTCTGAATATTTACTCATATGGTAACTCTGGATTAGGCAGAGTCCTTTGATGCTGCCCAATGCCTGAGCATGTAGTAAGCACTTAACAAATGTTTAATTGATTCTTACAACATCCTTCAGAGGAAGGACTGGTAATATCCAAGAAGGATGGGAAATTCTCAAACATGAAATTCTGAAGATACAAATTCCCAAGGTGCCATACGCCCATGCCTCTAAACTCTGATTTATAACTCAAGCTTCACCCTGGGCTCTTTTCGATTGTGTGTATTTACCACCACTAGCCTAAACCCCAAACCCCCCACATTGCCTCCCTCCCATGTGCCTTCTCCTCCTCCTTCCTTTCCAACTAGAGCTCTGAGAACAGTGATCAGGTGGTCAGTTCAACCCCATCATTCCAGGAAATGGACCTACTGATCAATTGTCTCATGATATCACTCACCATCCCCATGAATTCTCTGTGCAGAACCTCCTCCTTGGCTCCTGCTTCCCTAGAGGAGTTATCTCCACATTAGACTGTAAGTTCCTTGAGGGCAGGCACTGTTCTACTTCCTTGTATTTATATCTGTAGTGCTTAGCACAGTGCCTACCACATAGTAAGCTGTGATAAATGCCTTCTTCTTCATTTCATTATTCACAAATGTGTGCAGATAACTACAAATACATTAAAGAAATACAAATGACTGGTTCCAAAAGACCTAAAGGCAAAGGTCATTACTGACAGGGGAGGAGGGAAGGCTTCCTGAAGATGGTTTTTGAATTAGGCTTTAAAGGATGTGGAGGAAGCAATAAAGGGACCAGCATAAGCCAAGGCCCGGAAGTTGGGGGAGGTTCCAACATTGCAGAATGCATGGAGGGGAGAAATATGAGATAAAGCTGAACACATAGGGAAGCAAGAAGGCCTAAACTGCCAAGCAACAGAGCCTGAACTTTCCTTGGTAGACAAAAAGTAGAAACTGAAGTTCGTTGGACAGAAAAATGAAATGACCACACGAGTTGCCAGAATGTGAAATAAACTATTGCTAGGGTGAAAATACTTTGGATTTGGGAAGGAGTCACAGCTAGTTGTCATCTAAGGTGAAAGAAGGGATCTGGTTTTGTGAGCCCCTCTCTTGGGTATAGTAACAGCTAAAATAATGGCCCCTGTGCCTAGGAGCATCAGCTTAGATCTCTACCTCTGGGGTCAGAGCAATAGCTCTGTGGTCCAGTTCCTCGCCCTGGGTATGGCTTCAAGATACCCCATCCTGAGTCAGAGAGACAGCCATGTAGTCTTCCTCTCTAGGTGTCCAGCTCTAAGATCCCCTCTCTTGAGAAGAGGGGAGGCACTAGTCCTTGAGTCTTAGATCTCTCCCTCTGGAGTCAGCAACAGTGCTAGGTCTCTGTTCTTCCTGGAGTTGAGTCTGAGATCCCAATCACCCTGTTCCACTTCTGGGGTCTGGCTGCTTAATACCAGTCCACACTTATTCCATAGTTCTGCCCCAGTCACTTTCCTGTGAGCCAAATTTGTGATCTTGTGCAGGAAAGATGAACCAACATGGTTTCTCTGCAGATTTTCAACCACTACTCAGTCTGGCCCTCATCTGAGATGTTTGTTCATGAAGTTGCTATGAGAGCTGACCTGAACTGCTTCCTTCTACTCCATTGCCTTGGCTCATCTCAACTATGCCTCCCTTGATGTGACACAAGGTTGCATCAGTTAGCTTTGCCACATCACACTGCATATTTAGTTTATTGGCCACTAAAACCTCTGAATATTTTTCAGACAAACTATGGCTTCATCATGCTTTCCCTACTACAATCTGTGGAGCTGATTTCTCATATTCAAGTACAAAGCATTATATTTATCGCCATTGAATTTCACATTATTAAATTTGTTTCAATGCTCTAATCTATCAATAATTTTCTGGCTCTTGACTCTGTCATCCTCTGTTAGCTATTTCTCCTAGCTTTGTGTTGTCTGTAAATTGGACAATTGTGCCATCAATCTTTTATCCAAGTTACTGGGAAAGACATTCAATGCCATAGGGCAAGAAAAGTCTCCACTAGAGATTTTCTCCTCAGAGACAATGACCTGGAGTCTACTTTTCAGCCAATGCCTATCCTCCTTCACTGGGGGATATCTAAGCATTTAAGCATCATCTAAGCATTTCTGTCTCGATCTTGTTTATATACATAGCTTAAAAGTCTTTGTAAACTGCTTTCCAAAAATGTAAATAAACTATTTCCATGGCATCTTCTGAACAATGTGTTTTGTAACTCTGTCAAAAAGAAAATGAGGTTAATCCAGCACACTGTGTTCCTTATGAAGCCATGTTAGTTCTTTAGGATCCCAGTTTCCTTATTTAGGTATTCATTAATCACTCTTTATAATGACATATTTTAAAATTTTACCAGAAGTCCAAATCAATTTCATGGACTAGAACTGGCAGGCTCTATTCTCTTTCTTTCTTTTTTTTTTTTTGAAAATCAATAAAATAATTTTGGTAGTTTAATTGGGATGGCACTGAATAATTAGATTAAGTAGAATCAACACTTTTATTTTATTGGCTCAGCCTACTTATGAACTAATAACATTTCTCCAATTATTTAAACCTGACTTTTTATTAAAAAAAAGTTTTATAATTATGTTCAGATACATACCCTTTGATCCAGTAACATGACTACTAGGTCTATATCCCAAAGAGATTTTTTTTTAAAAAGAAAAGGACCTATATGTATAAAAATATTTACAGCAGCTCTTTTTGTGGTGGCAAAGAATTGGAAAGTGAAGGTATATCCATCAACGAAGGAATGACTGAAAAAAGTTGTGGTGTATGATTGTAATAGAATATTGTTACGCTATAAAAATGACAACCAGGATGATTTCAGCAAAAACCTGAAAAAGACTTACATGAACTGATGCAGAGTGAAGTGAACAGAAGCAGGAGAACACTGAAAGAATCCGCTGATCACCTCCTGAAAAAGATCCCAAAATGAAAACTCTGAGGAATATTGTCACCAAATTCCAGAATTATCAAGTCAAGAAAATACTTCAGGCAGCCAGAAACAAACAATTTAAATATTATGGAACCAGAGTCAGGATTACACAGGACCTAGCAGCTTGTACGTTAAAGGATCAGAGGGCTTGGAATATGATATTCTGCAAGGCAAAGGAGCTTGGATTACAACCAAGAATCAACTACCCAGCAAAATTGAACATAATCTTTCAGGTGAGAAGATGGACATTTAATGAAACAGGGGACTTTCAAACCTTCCTGATTTAAAAAAAACCACATAACTGAACAGAAAATTAGGTTGTCAAATACAAGACTCAAGAGAAGCATGAAAAGGTAAACAGGAAAGAAAAAAAAGAGGTTATTCGATAAGGTAAAACTGTTTACATCCCTACACAGGAAGATGATACTTGTAACTCCTAAGAACTACATCTTTATCATGGCATTTAGAAGGGATACACATAGACAGAAGGTGTAGGTATAAGTTGACTTTGATGTAATGATAAAAAATAATTAATTAATGGGTGAAAAAAAGATTGTACTATGAGAAGAGGAAAGGAGGAGGCAGAATAGGGTAAATTACATTACAGGAAGAGGCACAAAGACCTATTACACCAGAGGGAAAGAAGGGAGGGGGTTAGCATTATTTGAACCTTACTCTCATCAGATTTGTCCCAAAGAGGGAATAACATACACATTCAACTGGTTACAGAAACCCATCATATTCTATAGAGAAGTAAGAGGAGGAAGGGAAAAGAAAAGGGAGGGGGGCTGATAGAAGGGAGGGCAGATTGAGGGAGGCATTGATCAGAAGCAAAACACTGATGAGGAGGGAAAGGGAGAAAGGTGAGAGAAAAGTATAACAGGAAGGGGGGGAACAGGATGGAGAGAAAGACACAGTAATCATAACCGTGAATGTGAATGGGATGAACTCTCCCATTAAACAGAAGTGGATAACCACAATCCTACAATAGGTTATTTACAAGAAACACATTTGAAGCAGAGAGATTACACATAGAGTAAAGGTAAAAGGCTAGAGAAGAATATATTATGTTTCAGCTGACGTTGAAAAAAAAAAGCAGGGGTAGCAATCTTGATCTCAGACAAAGTAAAAGCAAAAATAGATCTAATTAAAAGAGATAAGGAAGGAAACTACATCCTGCTAAAAGGCATCATAGACAATGAAGTAATATCAATACTAAACATATATGCATCAAGTGGTGTAGCATAGAAATTCTTAGGGGAGAAGTTAAGGGAGTTACAGGAAGAAATAGATAGGAAAACTATACTAGTGGGGGACCTCAACCTCCCCCTCCCATAATTGTATAAATCTAACCACAAAATAAACAAGAAAGAAGTTAAGGAGGTGAATAGAATTTTAGAAAAGTTAGATATGATAGACCTCTGGAGAAAATTGAATGAGGACAGAAAGGAATATATCTTTTTATCAGCAGGACATGGCACCTATACAAAAATTGACAATGCACTAGGGCATAAAAACATCACAATCAAATGCAGAAAGGCAGAAATATTTAATGATCTGAAATTATGATGCAATAAAAATTACATTTAATAAAGGGCCATGGAAAGATAGACTGAAAATTAATTGGAAACTAAACAATCTAATCCTAAAGAATGAGTGGGTCAAGCAACAAATCATAGAAACAATCAATAACTTCATCTAAGAGAATGACAATAATGAGACAACATACCAAAACCTATGGGATGCAGCCAAAGCAGTCCCTAGGGGAAATTTTATATCTCTAAATGCTTACATTTATTCATATAAATTATTTATTCACATAAAATAGAGAAAGAAGAGATCAGTGAATTGGGCATGTAAGTAAAAAAGCTAGAAAAAGAACAAATCAAAAATCCTCAATTAAATACCAAATTAGAAATTCTGAAAATCAAAGAAGAGATTAATACAGTTGAAATTAAGAAAACTATAGAACTAATAAATAAAACCAAGAGCTGGTCTTATGAAGAAAACAATAAAGTTGACAAACTTTTGGTTAATTTCATTTAAAAAAGAAAGAAGAAAATCAAATTACTAGTATCAAAAATGAAAAGGGTGAATTCAGCACCAATGAAGAGGAAATTAAAACAATAACTAGGCTCTATTTTGCCCAACTATATGCCAATAAATCTGACAATCTAAGTGAAATGGATGAATATTTAAAAAATATATAAATTGTCCAGATGAACAAAAGAGGAAATAAAATACATAAATAACCCCATTTCAGAAAAAGAAATTGAACAAGCCATCAATGAATTCCCTAAGAAAAACTCTCCAGGGCCAGATGGATTTACAAGTGAATTCTACCAAACATTTAAGGAACAATTAATTCCAATACTATTTAAACTATTTGGGAAAATAAGCAAAGGAAGTGTCCTACAAGATTCTTTTAATGGTACAAATATGGTGCTGATACTTAAACTGGGGAGAAACAAAACAGATAAAGAAAATTATAGACCAATTTCCTTAATGAATATAGATGCAAAAATTTTAAATAAAATATTTGTGAAGAGACTACAGCAACTTATCAGGAGGATAGTACACTGTGACTAGGTAGGATTAACACTAGACATGCAGGACTGGTTCAATATTAAGAAAACTATCAGCATAAATGACCATATCAATAACAAAAATAATAGAAATCATATATTAATATGATTTAATATCATATCAATAGATGCAGAAAAAAACTTTTTGACAAAATACAACCCCCATTCCTATTAAAAAACACTGAAGAGCATAGGAATCAATTGAGTTTTCCTTAAAATGGTAAGTAGCATCTATCTAAAACTATCAGCAAGCATTATATATAATAGGGATAGGCTAGATGCATTTCCAATAAGATCAGGGATGAAACAAGGATGTCCTTTATCACCATTGTTATTCAATATTATACTAGAAATATTAGTTTTAACAAGGAGAAGAAACAGAAATTGAAGAAATTAGAATAGGCAATGAAGAAACAAAACTATCACTGCAGATGATATGATGGTATATCTAGAGAATCAAGTAAAAAGTTACTTGAAACAATTAACAACTTTAGAAAAGTTGCAGGATATAAAATAAACCTATATAAATTATCAGCATTTCCATATATTACCAACAAAGCCCAGCAGCAAGAGATAGAAAAAGAAATTCCATTTAAAGTAACTGTAGAGAATATTAAATATTTGGGAGTCTATATGCCAAGACAAACCCAGGAACTCTATGAACAGAATTACAAAACACTTTTCACACTAAGAAAGTCAGATCTAAAAATTAGAAAAGATATCAGTTGCTCATGGGTAGGCTGAGCTAATATAATAAAAATGACAATTCTATCTAAATTATTTTACTTATTCAGTTCCATGCCAATCAAAGTACTAAAAATTATTTTATAGAGCTAGAAAAAATTATAACAACATTAATTTGGAAGAACAAAAGATCTAGAATATCAAGGGAATTAATGAAAAGAAATGCAAGGGAAAGTGTCCTAGCCCTACCATATCTAAAACTGTATTATAAAGCAGCTATCATCAAAATTACTTGGTATTGTCTAAGAAAGAGAGCGATGGATCAGTGGAATAGCTTAGGTACACAAGACACAGTAGTCAATAACTGTAGTAATCTACTGTTTGATAAACTCAAAGACCCCAGCTTCTGGGATAAGAACTCACTATTTGACAAAAAAAATACTGGGAAAACTGGAATACAGTATGACAGACACTAGGCATAGACTAACATCTTACACCTTATACCAATATAAGGTCAAAATTGGTACATTTTAGACATAAAGGGTGAAACCACAAGCAAATTAAGAGATCAAGAAATAGTTTACCTGTTAGATTTATGGAGAATGGAAGAATTTATGACTGAACAAGAGATATAGAACATTATGAAATGCAAAATGGATAATTTTGATTACATTAAATTAAAAAGATTTTGCACAAACAATGCCAATGCAACCAAGATTAGCAGGGAAGCAGAAAGCTGAGAAACAATTTTTACAGCCAGTGTCTCTGACAAAGGTCTCATTTCTAAAATATGTAGAGAACTGAGTGAAATCTATAAGAATACAAGTCATTGCCCAATTGATAAATGGTAAAGGATATGAACAGGCAATTTTTGGATGAAAAATTAAAGTTATCTATAATCATATGAAAAAATGCTCTAAATCACTATTGATTAGAGAAATGCAAATTAAAACAGCTCTGAGGTACCACATCACACTATGAAATTGGTTAACATGACAAAACAGGAAAATGACAAATGTTGGAGAAGATGTGGGAAAATTAGAACACTAATGAATTGTTGGTAGAGTTGTGAACTGATCCAATCACTCTGAAGAGCAGTTTAGAACTATGCCCAAAGGGCACTAAAACTGTGCGTACCCTTTGATCCAGAAATACCACTACTAGGTCTGTATCCCAAAGAGATAATAAAAAAAGGAAAAGGACTCACATGTACAAAAACATTTATAGCAGCTCTTTTTGTGGTGGCCAAGAATTGGAAATTGAGGGGATGCCCATCAATTGAGGAATGGCTGAACAAATTGTGGCATATGAATGTAATGGAATATTATTGTTCCAGAAGAAATGATGAGCAGGTGGACTTCAGAAAAACCTGGAAAGACTTGCATGAACTGATGCTGAGTGAAGTGAGCAGAACCAGGAGAACACTGTACACAGTAACAGCAATATTGTGTGATGATCAACTTTGATAGACTTAGCTCTTCTGAGCAATGCAATGATTTAAAACAACTCCAAAAGATTCCTGATGGAAAATGCTATCTACATCCAGAGAAAGAGCTATGGAGTCTGAATGCAGATCAAAGCATACTATTTTCTATTTTTTTTTGTTTTTTTCTTTCTCATAGTTTTTCTTTTTTGTTCTGAGTCTTCTTTCACAACATGACTAATACGGAGATATATTTAATATGATTGTACATGTATAGCCTATATCAT